ATGACCACACTGCTCTGCTGTACTCTAGTTATACCTGGTTGGATACGATCACACATCCTTATGCTATGTGACAAGTAAAACCACGGCGCACGACATCGCCAACAGCCGCGAACAGTGGTTTTGGAGAGTCGTGTTCGCAGACACGATGCCGCACTGGCTACTGGTTTCTCGTGTCTAACTCGCATCTCATTCAAACCTGCTCAGGACTCAACTCTTTGCGCATTTCCTCATAGACAAGTTCGTTCTCTACTCTTCCAGCTACGTTATAATAATACCGTAGTGCAGTACAAGCAGCGAACCTGGAGTATCTGAGCAAAACAGCAGTTGACTATCTAGTGCCTCCGCAAGGGTTCTTCTTTCATCGCGCGTTCCTCCCGCTCGCCTCCTGAGGTACACGTCAGGTCGCTCGAACCCTTGCGCACGTCGATAGCCTTTACGTCGTCTACGGGACGTCACACACGCTTGTCAGTATACAAAGTTTGTTGCTCGAGTACTGCCACCATCAGCGCATGACATTCACCGATGTCTCGTCTGTCTATTGGCTCATGGCTCCAGTACGATTCATTCGTAATCGACACTTGATACTCAAGTAGCGACTTTCACAGTGTAGAGCTACCTCACTCGAGTATGGATGGCAGTTACCGGCAAAGGCGCCATGGCCACTCAGTTGCGCTAGCCTATTCGTAACTTGGTACGGCTGCGCTGAAAGTCTTACATACAGGCGATGTTTCATACGGAGACGAAGCGGCTAATACATGCGGAAGAAACCACCACGTGTTTGTATGATTGGCATCCAGATATCTGGCTTCGAGGACAGCTGCAATAGACCTACTATTGTTACTAGTTCCTTCCACGCTGGACCGACAGTCCATTGCAAGGTATCCCGTTCTTTTCTCGCAGACTGTACAGGAGGATTCTAGACGACAAGGTCAGTATTGATTCCACGTTCATGAACAAAGAGCGTGCCTGTAGAAATTGGTGGAGAAAGTAAGCGACTTGATGTGATAGTTGCCCAATAGAATATCGCCTCAGATCTGTACCTAAAAGGGGCTGCTCACAGGCATAATCAGGGTATCCGGGCCACTACGCATAGGTGTCAACCCCGGCAAGCCCCAGGATTACTTGCAACTCACGGAAAGAACGAATGTAGGGCTCCCTGGACCGGATACGTGGGGCTGTGCAGAGCTAGCCGAGAGGAAACAGCTTAGACTTAGCGCATCCGAGAGAGCCGTTCCTACCGAGCCATCTGGGTGCACGAGAAAGATTGGGGTCTGCAGCTCTTGTTGGTGCACAGCGATGGCCATATCCGGAAGCTTTTGAGGTACAACGGTACCCTTACTGAGATCGACGATGTAGTCCAACAAGACGGGCCTTGCATCGCTGGGCTTGTCGCGGTATTTGCCAAACAAAGAATTGCAGGGAACGAGTATAGAGCGTCCGTTGAAGATGGGAGTGACCCTTTCCAATGTGTTTGCAGCGAAAAGTCGCGATACGTAGACGGATGCAGCGACGGGGCGAAGGGTATAAGCGATGTAGCCGTCGATGAGTAAGTCGCGTTAGTTGAGCTATGATACGATCAGCATCGCACGTGCATAGTCCTGCAGCACTAAACCTACACGAGGAGCGTCGCTCGCGCGCGGTAAAGACTGCATGTCGGCTGTTGTCACCCAGACATGATGCTGGCCATTTTAAGGAGCATGCTACGACCGGCTGATGTGCAGAAGTCTTGTGAGAGACTTCGTGACCGTTCGGTGATCCGTATGCTACAGAAGTCCAACTTACCATCAGACGCTGCATCATCTATACAGATAATGAGACGAGTACGCCCCGCGGCCGTACGGTACGGTCCATGTCGCGAACCTATGCGCCCATTCACCGCATGAGCGTTTGCCTAGCGATGCGTCAAGAGTTCAGAACTCACCTCGTCAGTTACGGGCGGACCCTCGTCCGCTTGAACGTCGCGCGAGCCCGAGATGCGTAGCGCCGTTGAATGACAGCGCAGGCTACCCACGCGCGCAGCCTGCCAGCTCCAGTGGACTGGCGAGTGATGTGAGTCGGGACCGATGCGACTTGAGACGAGGACGCCGGCCATCTTTACACCGGATATTACTTCCCATTGACCGCGCTTCTTGGCTCCCAGGCAAGCCTCTGAAGATCGGTCGTCGTGAACCCCCGACTGCTATGTCTACGCCTTTCGTTAGCATCGGCGGCCTGTAAGGTGAAGTAAAGAGGGTACGGTACCGATCCAGGCCATAGAATAAGTGTAGGGTTGCGGGTATCCATGGCTCTCGGGGCCACAATCGTGCAGAGTCTGAACCTCTCTCTTGATATCTGAGCTTTCCAGACGAGCGAGCGAGCACAGCGAGGGACATAGACGCCAGAGCGCCAATTAGCGTTCACGTAAGAGAATTTTATTGAGACGTCGAGACGCGGACAGATGCGAGAAGTCCCTATGGAGTCTGCACATAGCTATAGCTGGATGACCTTGCACAGCCTTGCGACTGCTCTGATCAGCGAGCCTCTATTGCGGGACGACATAGGTTGGAAACAAACGTCGTGGTTCGGGTTCAGTCGGTTGCACATCCCGCACGCGGCGTTCGGCGTTCGGCGTCCGTTGATGCTCGAAGCCGCCCCGCGCCTCTTGCGCACAGCGACGAGGACCTCCCGCCCTTCTCCCGATGCCATGCACGAGTCGGCTTGTGAATGCATCATGTGGCACGATATATTTGTGCTATCTTCACGACCCCCCTCTTCTCTCGTCATCAACAACATGGGCAAGGACTGTTTTTGACAAGCCGCGGGAGTAGTGGATGCGGACATCCCACCGAAGTGATGATGCTACGTCTGAAAACGCTTGCAGCCGACATAACCCGCTTGCACGCTATATCATGTTGTCTCACCTTTGCTATCGAGGAGACGTGGCTCCCTACGCAAGGCCTACCTGTCTGATTTGATGACTGACTCCTGACGAGATCAACACAAGGTCGCGGAGATGCGGCTGAAGCTTGCGCATAACGGGCGCATACTCCCTCGTCCAGGTCAGCACCGGCCGGTGGCTGTCCATGATTCCGTCGTGGATGTATTTTTACACACGCCACGATCCTATAACCTATGTCTGATCGGTCGACTATTTTGCGTCTTTCTCTTCCAATCATTCGTGGTGGATGTTCAGCCTAGGTCCGTCACTTGAAGCCGTCAAGTCTCCCGGTGTGCCGGGTCCTGTGTCCACATTAGCAAGTTGTACCGATGTCAAGCGCTTGCGCTGATCTTCACTAATCATCACCGGACGATCTTTCTTGTGCGTACTGTCAGCTATGCATTAGAATCATCATGCTACGCAGATCTAGTTTTCTCGGAGGCCTATTTCAAGGAACTAGGTAGAAAGAGGGAAGGATGCGCTGGTGTACGCGCTGGTGCGCCGATTGGACTATTGTCACACATCCTATCAATACATGCACACACTGACCTTACCGCGCAGCACACACCTGATATAGTCACGAAGTTACTTGTGTCGACCAGTCAACCCAAATCCAGGGTACATGGTACTGCCTCTGGGCGGAGACCCCGACGCCGTATAAGCCAACGCTCACATTGCGGCAGTCACTATCTTGAAGCACGCGCATTATCTGCTCCCAGTCGCCCTTCCCGACGCAGGCGAGATAAGCCGCTCGGTGGCCCCTATACGCATCGGCAGCCCTCCTGATGTTTGTGTCGAGGACATTCACTGCGCTGCGAGTGCGGGTGTTCTGGCGTTGACCTCTGATGGATGTGTCAATGACCGTTCTTAGACTGGTCTTTAGCCGTAGCTGGTGGCGTAAGTAGTCAAGCTCAGCCACCATCAGTGTCCATCTTAGTCTTGCCTCCATCGCATGCACAGAGGAGTGGTCGCCCTCCTTTCCGGAGGCATCAATCTTGCACCAGCCATCTTCGGACACTCCCTCTTCCTGTTCCTCATCGTCCTGAACCCCTTCGTCCTTCTCGATGGGCGGAACACCCTCTTGCGGTTGAACCTGAGGCATGAATCACCGGCTGTATCTTTCTGTGATCGTCAACCCTCTTCCTGCACTACGTTCAAATTGAATCTGACCTTCGAACAGCACTGCAACTTGAGCACTACTCGGACTGATGAGAATCGAAACGAGTAGATATCCTGGTACGTCTACAAGCGTCCCCGCTTATGTATATGTTGAACGTTGACGGCGTTGTCAAGTTCCACACAGCGCTTGACGTAGCCCAGATGATCAAAGCCGGGAGTTTCACCTCCGGTGATATTACCGCCTGCCCGTCTTTCTAATTGCAGCTATCAGCCAAGTGCAGTTGTTCACACGCACGGGCGCTGTGAGCCTAATCAACACGCGGCGCCCATGATTGCGAATCCATGGACCTGAGTCTTTGCGGGTTTCCCGTAGTCATCCGCTCTTGCCCGTCAAGGGACAGCCCTGCAACTCTTCCCGCGCGCCAGAACGCGAGGTAGCGTGCTACGCAGATACTCTATATCGACGACTAGCAGGGTTCACTGATGCATTCGATGGACATGTTAGCACCGCTACAGGAGGGCATGGGCGATCGGAAGCGTTACTTGTGAAACGATTCCGGAATTCTGGGCGCTGCCCCGGTCATTCTAGATGCTTCATATCTCAACTGTGCGAACTTCGCCCGCGGCCGGACATCGATCATATGTCAACCTTCTCGGATGCTTGTCCCACACGACGTGTGGTTACGGATGCAATGTAGTTAGTTCGCAAGTTCGAAACCTCGACTGATGAGTCTAATTCATGCTGCCTCTCATCCGTCGCATTTCACGGTGTTAGGGGCGGAGCTTCTCGGCGACTGTATATAGGGTTACATCAATGCATCACCAGGGTCCCGGAAGGTGACGGCTACGCCGGTGCGTCCAAGTTTTGGGGCGAGCGGTTGGCGAAACTGGTACATGCTTAAAACGCCCCCATATTGTGATGAAGCCCCTGTCGCGCGACACCTCATTTTCCTGTGCTCTTGCCATGCCTCTTTGTCCTGTGGGACTACTTTCTGAAGCTTGCGGTTTGACGCCTTTCTCGTCGTCTTCCTCCCCGCTTTCCTCGTTGTCTTCATCTCCGCACTCCTCTCCGTCTTCTACGCCGCCCTCGTCGTCGTCTTCCTCTCCGCTCTCCTCTCCACCGTTCACCCCGCCTTCCTCACCGCCTTCCTCACCGCCTTCCTCACCGCCTTCCTCACCGCCTTCCTCATTGTCGTCTTCGCCGAACACCCAGATTGCGCGTGAAAATAGCTCTCTGCCAAAGTCAGTGATTGTCATAGGCATTCACTCTAGGACTAAATATCAGAATATCCTTTCTGACACGGTACTTGCTAGGCACGATAACAGCACTAGTGAACCAAGGTCCTCACTCATCCCGGATGAAACGGTCTCGAACCAAAGTGCGCGGGTTATCACATCTGAAGGTCGTGACGAGGAGCCAGCAGAAGCAGTGGATCCCGTACAGTAAGCACAGTCGGCGCTCTACGACCATCCGTAAAACTCACAAACGCCTTAGGCATCCATTGCACGCGTCCGTGCTCCCCTCGTATCATTATCCCAAAGCTTCGTCGCGATCGTCAGACTCAATCTTGTCTCATCGCGACGCAGTGAATGACGCAAATGTCCATGGTATACCAGACGATGTCCCCAGGGTTCTGAAAAGGTATTTGTCTGTAGTCATCTGTGTGCTTCCACGTAATAGCGCTGACGCCTTCACAGTCAAACCCCTGGCCTTGCGAGCACGTCGGCCTCGAATCTCGGTACAGTTCTCGGAAAACGTGCGCGACCCGAACATCAACACCGTCAGCAGTCTACAGAAGGCACACTACGCTCCCCCAATTCATCGGGTGGCGAAGATCGGCTCTCGAAAAGAGACTGCACGATTGCTCGAGTCGGGACCGAGCGCGGCAGGGACGGGGTCGACCGGAAAGTGTACTTTAACGGCGAAGACGTCAAACTGGAGATCCTCGTTGTTGACGTCCATGTCGACAAGGATGCTTATCTCGAGTATGCGGAGGCTGTCCCCTTCGATAGTCTACGATGGCGTTGCGTCTATGAACAGGCAAAGGACGACCACCACAGTCCGTGTCGTTTCACGTCTAAGAAACATCTCGTAAAGCGCCACATCGAGGCCATGCACATGAACATCAGGTATGCATTCCCTATCGATAACACTACCGCCGCTGAGCCATTGGTAGACGCTTTGAGTGTAGTTGGTGCGGCAAGTGTGTTCATTTATGTCCAACCCGCTAGATATCTTTTAACACCGCTCACAGCAGATTCACCCAACGCAGCAATGGAGTGAACTGTCACGTCAATATGCAGTAAGCGCCTGTAGCATTGACAGCCTTCGATCGCTCATGACCTTGTTCTCTAGCAGCGGCGAAGTTCCCCATGCATGTTCTTACTGCGATGCGCGTTTCAGCGACCCGTCGAAGCTTCATAAGCACCTATCGCGTGTTCACGAAGGGGCGGTTCGCCCAAAGCGCCAGCGGCGTTATATTTCTCAGTGATTGCTCATAGACACTTACTAACCTGCGTCCGTTTTCATCCATCATGTGCACTCTATTCTACCGGCCCCTAACTGTATATGCGCTATACGCACCTCATTGGCTCTTGACCTCGTCCATAGCATACTAATAGCATACCCGTGTACTCCGTACGACTGTTCGTCACTGTATAATACCCCAAGCTTTCCTATCACGTACTAACGTCTCGATTGAGGGTTGTCAACAAGAAATACTAACGATGGAATACACCACAATGTACTGAGAGATCATGGCACACAACACATGAGTAATAGTGGAAGACCTCAGAAGCGAATGGCCTTCACGCTTCGCTCGAATGCATTCATTGCGTCAGCGGCGCGGCATGAACGAGGTCATGGTCGATGGAACTGACTATGAGCATAAGTAGATGGAAGATCGCTGTCATCGGAAAAGATGATGACTCGGAGGGACAAGGGCGTGCGGCCGGCACATGTTCGGCGATGATCTCGACGTCACCTGAGCACTGGTGGCCACTTGAGGAAGATAGTTGAGCAACACTGCATGAGCTTTTGTGCAATGCTTTGCAGCAAGACATCGCCGATGTCTACTCCAACAGTCCTGTAAAGCGAGCCGGTGAGCATATATGATCACCACACTTCATCGGTTTCTGGTTCACATGGTCACAGATCCGACGGGCAACTGCTGTCATGTATCCGTTCGTCTCGCGACAAAGCGGGATGCCGCCGCAGGGTCTATCGGTGAGCATGCTTAGGGCGTATATAACCCACCGTCCCTCCTGCAGTCTCTTCTCCACCTGAAACAGTAGTGCCCGCGCGTGAACGGAGAGAGACCGTCGTAACGCAGGCAACTACAAGCAACCTAAGGGTCAACGAGAGCCGTAACCGACCGATGCGTGAGACCGAACCTCTGCGACATCGTGTTCAGCAGCTAGCGGAGCGTCGTAAACCTGTATTTCTTGGAGATCATCTGCCTGGCAGGAGAAGTACTCAAGGCGCACCGCTGGCTTGGGATCGGCATTCGCGACGTATGGGCGGTTACGCACAATCATAGATGTTATGGAGTCCGAGCACAAGCTAGAAACGTCAAGCTGGTGAGAACTTCGCTTCCACTGAAGTGAAGCCTCGATGCGGTCGATCAGCGATATCGCCGAGCAAAAAGGCGCAAAGACGAGGCAGCGGCGACCTAAGGGAGAGCTGCAGCGATAAAGGAAGCAGAGGATGCGGCGCAGTGAAAGCGTAAACGAATTGACGAGCAGCAGCGAAGAGAAGATAGGGCTTCCCTAGCCGAGCGGGACGCCATAGCCGCACAGGCAGTTAGAGGGGCGAAGGCGGCGGAGAGAGCACGTAAGAAGGCGGAGGAAAGGCAGAAGTGGCCGAAAAAGCGAGGATTTGGAGAGAGAAAAAGGCAAAGAGTGACGCCGACAAAGAGTTCAAGCGGCTGGAGAAGGAAGGGAAGGAAGCTGAAGAGCTGGAGAAGGTACGCAGGCGGGAGATAGCGGCGCCGCAGAGAGAAAGGTAGGGTAACGCCCCTAAGCGCCCCTATCGCTCTGGTGCCATGCCCTTATGTACTACTCGCGCGACGCGGCCGTCTCGTTCTAACTTGATCTCCAACTACCACGACCTGCCTTTTCTATTGCAGGTCCCTCCTCGTTCCGAGGTGCCCAAGGCAATGTCGCTCACGTCGCCCCCGTATTCGTATCGGGGCCTGTCGCGCCCAACTCTCACGGCCTCCCGCGATCGGCGGGATCACTCGCTGCTCGCCCCATTACCCCACCGCGGTCCATCGCCCACCACCGTCAAGTGCCAATATAAACACAGCCCGCAAACCCAGGATCGCCTGGATTGCTAATGTGGCACTCTCCTGATGCTACGGCGACGTCCCCACCCTCACGCGCAGGACCCGCCGCCGCATTCGCTTTTGGATCGAGCCCTTTGATGTACCCGCCACGAGCTCCTGGCTCCCTCGCCGCTGGGCCTGTCGTCCGGCCGCGCCCGGCTAGATATAAGAAAATATCCATCGACAATCCGAACCTCTGCCATGGAACATGTCGGAAGCGATGAGCGTGTCGATAGGTTATCGGGAGCCACCACCTACATCTCTCCAGCCAGGCTCCTCCCGATTGACTTCCCTACGGTACGTGCTAACTTTGGACTTCATACTTTGTGCACGAATCTGATATGGCTATGTCGAGGACCTGCCCCAGTTCACGTCTTGTACGCCTACACCCGGTCATCTGCCCAAGATCGCCACCTATCCGACACCCGATCAATGCTCGTATAACCCCATATCTCCTCCCCGTCCTTAATCGACGCTCGGCGGGATCGTGACTTTCTGCTTGCCCCATCGTTCCACCGTGGCCCATCGTCAAGCGGCCGTTCAAGCGAGGACTACGCGGACGTGTCGATGGAGGGCTCGACTACCACTTACATCCGTAAGCAGCATACCATAGCTCGAGACCAATGTGCTCATTCAAGTAGTTGCGGGAACAGCATGGCATAACATCATGGGCGCCGACATCGGAAGATATAACAGATAATATACAGCCCGCACGGTTCCCGGCTAGTCCGAGACCCGCGCACGACGCGCGCCGCGGCAGGTACTTATATGCCTGACAAGGACTTACCGTATCGCCACCCCTCGTTCTGGCAGCGTACACGGCTGCCAGAGTAACCTCCCGGCATAGCCATGAACCTTCGAACGGCCTCCTACAGGTGAGGTGACACCCGACGAAGGTGCAGGGAGTATTTCTGCGATTTTCTAACCTTTTCCACGCCTCGACCGCGGGTTGTCGGCTGTTGTCGCCTCTGTTGGTCCTTGGCCCTTACGGTGCTCGCCCTATCGTGCATCTTGGTAGCCTAGTGAGGCTCTGGGAGCTGGAAGTGTAGTGGTGTGGAGTAGAGATTGGGGAGAACTGATATGCATATGATCTCAGAAGCACAATTGTATTCACGAAAACATGTTAAATCACTAGGATGCCATCACCGAAGCGTCCACGCTCTGCTCAGGTTCGCACATAGACGATGGCTGTATACGCACACTATTATGGCCTGCTGGTCCAAGACATTTGACTGCGCAATGACTGAGCGAAACATTGAATAGCAGGGACCGAGTCTATTAGTACTGGATCTACTCTCCTATGGTACTGTGTGTCCAATTCTTGGGCACATAAGTCAGTAGGGCCATACTCTTGCAGATAAAGCTCATGCAGAAGGTATGTGTCTTACTGCTGAGCGACCAGAGCATATGTATATACATGATAATCCATGCCTTCCAGAGCTCGCGGCCGAGGCGTGAGAAAGGGTAGAAAATCGCAGAAATACTCCCTGCACCTTCATCGGGTGTCACCTCGCCCGTAGGAGGCCGTTCGAAGGTTCATGGCTATGCCGGGAGGTTACTCTGGCAGCCGTGTACGCTTCTGGAACGAGGGGTGGCGATACGGTAAGTCCTTGTCGGGCATACAAGTACCTGCCGCGGCGCGCGTCGTGCGCGAGAGGCGACGCGCAAGTTGGGCCTCGGACCCCGGCTCGAGCGATTGGGAAAACGACACACGCCAGCGTAGCCACGTTCGCCGCTACATACATCGATAGTATGCGCATAGGAGTCTCAACTCTCTTAGCCTTATGTAGAGCTCATCGTCGCTCCTGGACCCAACACTGAAAAGGTTCCTCCAGTTTACTATCTATATGCTAGTCGAATAGCGTGATCATCTAGACGGAAGTCTGTATACGGCAGTCTTCGCTACTGTGAGAGGGTATATGTTGAGGGATTGGCAGTGCCAATCGTAGATTTGTTCCTTTCCCATTCAGAAACCCGCGCCCTCCACCCCGCAAGCTCAGACTCCGGATCCCCTTCCGGGCGTATAGCAAGCTCGTCGGAGAGGCTATACGTGTTGGGCTCTCCACCACCCCTCCGGCTGTCGAGTGTCCCGCTGGTAGATCTATCCCTGTATTATTGCAACGAAGCTGCTGTTCTGATGAAAGCGCACCCTTTAGTATCCCACCTGTATGAGATGACCTCCTCGGTATAGTGAAGATACGGGCCCATTTCGTGCAAGCTCGACGCATTCGGGTTCTCCCACGCCCAATCGGGTGACTCGCACTCGCTGACATCGCACCCAGAGCGCTCACAACGCACTATCGTAATGTATCTTCGGATGAGTTATATCCAACTAACCCGACGATGTGGACGTACCAGTCTGCTTGCCCTTCACACATTCTGCGCACTTCTGCATATCCAGCGTGCCTCTATCATCATCATACCCACCAACGTTTCTGCCTTCACAACCGCCCGTCATACACCATGCTATAAACCGAGGCATCTGGAGTGGAACTATTGTGGACAATCAGTGTTACTGCAGAATATGTCCAGCGTCGAAGAATTTGGGAGCGAGCTTGGAGGAACACTCTGGATCTCGCGTATAAATTAGGGATACTGGAAGCTCACTATGGCGGTCCAAACGCGTCAAAAAGCGAATTAGATTTAGGACGCGGTTTTGATTTACCTTTAACGAGGAGTCGCGGCGGGCCCGCCTTCCCCGGGCCTCTCCCGCTCCCTCCCGTCTGTCCCGCCCATCTCCTTAGCCCTACTGTGTGCTGTACGTGCTAGGCTGTCGAACGAAGCCCGTCAAGGCGCAGAGAGGAAGGACAAGGAGCGGCGTCGCCGCGGCGGCCGGCGCCGCGTGTTCGGCTGACGCGGCCACGTGGTTTGCCGCGTGTGTCGCAAAGCGCGTCGCGCCCGCTCGTCCTCCCGTTCGTGCATCCGAGTCTCTGACTCTCCGAAGCATACTAGTAGCGCC